AGAATGGTTTGGGTTGGAAGGGATACTCTCTTATTTGCTCTTATCCTCTAAGAATTTCAGGGTATTTTAAAGAAAAGGCATAGGCTAAAAAATTTTTCTCTTCCTCTAGTTACAGCTGCCACACTCAGAAAGCAACCCTGCCGTGAGCTATGTGCCTTCCCAGAATTAACTTGCCTTTGCCTTTTGAAAAAAATAATTAATATATTTAATAATGTAGTAATGGGACCTACATACTGGGAAATCCCACCTTCCACACCATCCCATTAGCTAAATCTGGCTTTGGACCAAAATTTAATATTTCAGCTCCTGCCAAGGGTCAGGTTTGGAATGTTGGAGGATTTTTCATCTGTTTCCTTGGCTGGGCTAACGGGACCCTAATGCACACGAGAGATTGCTGTCGTGTGGGGTAGCCGGTTACTCACTTGTTTCCATCACCTTGTACATACCCACTAACTTGTCGCATGTCCCTCTCAGCTAAGTGATGCCAATAAGTGTTTAATGCAAGATGCAAAGGGCTATAATACAATACCGAGAACAACTGACTTGAGACACTCCCACTGGCTGGAGTAATTGCAACGCATTATTCAAAAAACTATTGGGCAAAAAGTTAGATGACTTAAAACCTGATTCATCAACAAAATTGTGTATGTCTGGCAGGAATTCTCATGTCCAATAAAACATGGAAGCTGTAGGAATGAACCTCCAAGAAATTTGGACATGGCTTAAAGAAACCAAAGCGGTTGCCTCATCCATTTGCCTCTCGGAGATCTGGGACAAGGCTCAGCTCCTGCTGTCAAGGCAGAGAAGAACAGTCTGTACGTGCTGATCTGAGAGACTCTTGCAGATGTTACCCTGCCAGGACTGGGAGGTAAGTCACCTCACTAGCTGTTCACCAGTCACCACTCTACACAGCCAACCCCAGCATTAATGCCTGTCACACTGTCCACTTCAGCAAAAGGGCCGACATTTCTGCTAACATGTGACTTTTCAAATAATATTTCCTTTTGTCATCTCATAAATTGCTCCCTCAACAGATTTCTTTTTTTCATTAATTGCTATCAGCAGAAGACATATTTTTCTCCTTTCAGCCCTCCCAGTACTGTAGCACCAAGAGCAGAGTTCAGCTGCCCTGTCCCCGTAGTTGATGAAGTTTTCCTACCCACACCACCAAGCCATCAGTATGCTTGCTCCCACCACCTCTTCTGAAGCAGCACCATGGGTCGGTAGCAGCGATCAAGGACACGTGACAGTTTATGTCACAGATGAGACCTGGTCCAAACTGCAGAACCATGGCAGGACAGTTCTGCCACACCTTGACAGCTGCGGATTGATGGAGAAGAGCAGACTGACTGCACTGCTTGATCTCAGAGGGAGATGAAGTCACCCATTTGAACCAGCAATGAGAAAGGCTGAAGTGATGCTCAGAGAAACCCATTTTGTACACCCACCATGTTTCCCAAGCTATGCCAGGATTACTCTGTGTCCTTCACTGCTCTCCAGTGAACACCAGCAAAGCTGCATCCAGCACTCCAGGGATCACGTGTTTCCCACTACACGAGATGGGGAACAGGGATCACAGAATCACAGAATGGTTTGGGTTGGAAGGGACCCTAAAGATCATCCAGTTCCAACGCCCCTGCCATGGGCAGGGACACCTTCCACTAGACCAGGTTGCTCCAAGCCTCATCCAGCCTGGCCTTGAACACTTCCAGGGATGCGGCATCCACAGCTTCTCTGGGCAACCTGTTCCAGTGCCTCACCATGCTCTCCACAAAGAGTTTCTTCTGATATCCAATCTACATCTCCTCTCTTTCAGTTTAAACCCGTTACCCCTTGTCCTGTCACTCCCTGCCCTTGTAAAAAGTCCCCCATGTGTAGATACACATCATGTTCACCAGTCAAAGCCAGTGAAAGTGGAGCACACAAGCAATGATTTATGCACCCTTACGGAAACGTAAAACAAAAAGATACCCAACAGGAGGTTTTCTACACAGCAATTGTTCACTCAACCATAAGAACATCAAACTGCTTGGTTTTATCACTTCTTTTAAAAGAATGCCAGGTTTTACTTCTGTCCAGCACTAGTACATGAGACTGGAATTTGATTTCTTGTTTATTTGCTCTTAACATTTTGAAGGATTTTGCTGTTGGAGGGGAGAAATATGTGTCTGATGATCACAAAATCCATCTCAGAGACATGTTTGAGATCATGGTTTTGAAAAGGAGCCACGGCCACCTCCAAAGGATGAGGCAGATTTCACCCACTGAAAAACAAAACATGCCATTTTGTGCTCTCAAGTGTGACTCATTTCCTGATGCAGTTAGGCTATGACTAGGGAAGTTAAGGTCAGATTAAGAGATCATTAATATCTTTTGTAGTGGACTTTGGGACCAGGACCACAATGCCAGAATAAGGCTGCAGAGGTCTTTGAAGGAGATATCCTCTTGGAAATACATTATGGGTTCTGTTAAGTTTATCCCTGGATTTTTGAGTGCTGGAGCTCTTGTTTTGTTTCACTGCCTTGGTTTCTCTCAAATCTCCCTGAGGATAAGCTGCTTTCAGGCTCTTTATGAGAAAAATGATACAAAAACATCACCTTCCTGGCTAGAAAATTCAGAGGACTTTGCATGAATAGCCTTGCTCTTCTCACTACATCATTTCAAACAAAACCCAAGAAGCCAAGATTAAAAAAAAAATTCAACCTTCCTCCATTCCTGCCAAATGAAACAACAGCCAGACAGGACCTCAGAGCCTGATGCTCCTGCATCAATCTCTCTGCTCTTCAAGGTGCTGTGCATCAGCCATGCACAGAAACTATACGAAGTGCTATAGTGGCTCCATCCCAGAGACCATCGATCAGATTCAGCACAGTTACACACAGCGATTGACCCACAAGACCTGTGGTTGTCTGACGACACCACTGCCTCTGCTACATGCTCCGCTATCTGCTCAGCAGATTCAAAATAGCACCAGTATTTCCGCTTCCAGGTGGACAAAGAAAGAAACAGAGACAGAGCTGATCCTAGCAACAACTCTCAAGCAAATATTTTCAAATACATCAGCTAAAAATGACCAAAATGTCACCACTGGAAAAAGACAGACCTGATGTTTTCGTACCACAGAGCTCAGACAGGAACATTTTTTTCTCTGTTGCAAAATAATATGACTAGGCAGGTAGAAGTACAGTTTCTGCCCAACCCTATGGCCTAAGCTCCCAACTCAGAGCTTCAACTGTTTAATTTTTTCAAAATCAGTATTTTTTAGGAAAATGTTGCAATGTTTACGTGAAGATTTTGGGATTGATTTTCTACTAACGCTGTGGATGAGTATGGATTGGTGATTGTCTTATTCTACTGTTCAAAATGAAATACAGAGCAAAGTAATAAGGATCCTACTGATAACCACAACTTTGCTGCAGTAAAATGAAGGAGCAGGATGCTAACATTCAGGATGTAAGCATCCACTGAGTGGATTGATTTCACTGCCTGATTTTCCTGCCTTGAAGAGACAGTGTTGAACAAATCAACAAAGTATAAATTCTATGTCTTCTGCTTTTTCTATCAAATCAATGAGTAGAAAAAGAGACAAAATTAAACCACTCAAGTGATCCACAGAGTGGATTTGGTCCCTTGTTGACCAAATAACAATCACTGTAAGCCAACTGGAATTTCAACAACCTTTTATGTACAATTATAAGTCTTGTTGTCCTTCACACAGCACTGTTCACAAAACACATACCCCAGTAAGAGTTAAAGAGAATTTTGTGGCTCACCACAGGTGTAGATGACATTAAGATGCTTTCGGATGCCTGGGTAACAAGGATCTCCAAATTCATAGGTGCTGGCATACATACTGCAGCTTCTTTTCCCGTGACAGCGCTTGATCATCAGTTGGAGAGCAGTAGCCGACTGACACTCTAAAAAAAAAAAAAGATACCTGTTTGTGAATATTTGTCCATTCCCATCAGAAATTGCCTAAAATTACCAGATGAAGACTGTGAAAGCACATGCATACGAGCTTTCCATGAGTATTTGAAAATCTTTGTGTTTACACAGGAAAGCGTGTCTGACTCGCAAACACCACTAATCAATTGTAAATCGATGAAAGGAAATTACCAAAAACAACAGTGAAGAACCAGAAACCTCCATACATCCATAGAAAGAAGGCTGCAAATAGAAGGTGGCTTGTTTTCAAAGGGAAAAGGCTATCCGTAATAAAAATACTTCCTTCCCACCTAGTATTTATTCCATAAAGGTCTGAAAGGACTCTAAGACAGGTATCAGTATCTTCGTTTTAACAGATGGAGAAACAGTGTCATAGAAAAGTGAAAAAAGTAACAGCAGCCAATCAGTGCAGAGCACGGAAAAAGACTCAGATCTTTGGATTCTTACTCCAACAGATTTATGCAGAAACACTACAAGCTTTGCCATAAACTAAGAGGTTGCCACAGAAAATATGTTAATAATACAGTTATAATACTCAAATGGGATCCCTGTAGATTTATTTAGCTGTCTGATAACACAACTGACCACAGGAACATGCATAATTATTCGCAAATTCCCACTTCATGGGTGTAAGGGAGATGGACATTGTGATCTTGTTTAGGGAACAGTAAAACTGATTGGATTTGGGTGTGCTGATTTTTTTTCTAGGTTTTGCTTGTGTGGAGGGCTGACCCTGGCTGGGGGCCAGGTGCCCACCAAAGCCGCTCTGTTACTGCCCTCCGCAGCTGGGCAGGGGAGAGAAAAGGAAGAGGGAAATGCTGATGGGTTAAGGTAAGGACAGGGAGGGATCACTCATCAATTACCATCAAACAGATTCTACTTGGGGAAATTGGTTTAATTTATTACCAATCAAATCAGAGAAGGATAATGAGAAATAAAACCAAATCTTAAAAACACCTTCCCCCACCCCTCCCTTCTTCCTGGGATCAACTTCACTCCCCATTTCTCTACCTCCTTCCCACCAAGCATCGCAGAAGGACAGGGAATGGGGGTTGTGGTCAGTCCATCACACGCTGTCTCTGCTGCTCCTTCCTCCTCAGGGGAGGGTTCTCACACTCTGCCCCTGCTCCAGCTCTGTCTGCAGAGTTGTTCCCCTCAGATTCTCACTCCTCCCTCTGGCTGCAGTTACTGTTGCAGAGTTTTCTTTTTCTCCTTAACCATGAAATCCCAGAGGTCCAACCACTGTCGCTGATGGGCTCAGCCTCGGACAGCGGTGGGTCCATCTTGGAGCCAGATGGCATTGGCTCTATGGGACAGAGGGGAGGTTTCGATCAGCTTCTGACAGAAGCCACCACAGTAGCACACACACACCCCCAAAACCTTGCCACACAAACCCAATACAGCTTTTTTCATATTGAGGGGATGAGATAGGAAGGGTTCGGGTAGGCTTTTTTTGCCTCAGGTCACCATCCCCGGACTCCTTCTGCAAACAGTGGTGACCAGTGCCCCTGTGTGTTCTTCGAAGATGTTGTATTTCTAAGAAGTCTAATGAGGGTTACTATGAGATCAAATAATTATAAAGTTACCATCTACCATCTAAGTAGAAATATTCTGTTAAGTGTGTTTATTCCATGCAAGTAGAAAGGTTTGTCATATCAGGAATTTAGAACATGGAAAACTCCAAACTAAATATTTTCCCAAGTATTATTTTCTATCAAACGGTTTGTGCCTGTTTTCTCAGCTAAGGTGAAAATGATTTGTACAGAAAAGCTCTCCAACTTTTAGGTGCCACACAAATAATTTGCTTTCACTGTCCAGTCAGAGCCAAGCACAAGGGGAAGCTGACAAGAAGACTTTTCTTCAACACTACGCTGTTGCGAAAAGCGATGGGAAAGCTACAGAGAAATACAACCCCCTTTTGGTCACTAATTAGGAGGCAGGAGAAATGAAGCCCAAAAGGTACTGAATGCTACAACCAGAACAACAACAAAAGCCATGAGAGACACAGGAAAGACACAGAAAACTAAGCCTAGAGGGCAACATGTCTTTTTTGTCAAATCAAAGGCAGCATTTTATGCTAAAATGACAAAAGAACAGGGCCCCATGTGAGAATTTTCATACTGAACCACCCAAACTTCCTTAGGGGATTTTTGATCCGACGAGTGTCAGAGGTTCCAGTGGAAACATCTGGCATGCAGCAATCCTGCTTTATTGCCTTTTTGTCAAATGTCCAGTGAGAGAAACTCATCAAATCTCAGCACTGCACATGATTTCATGGAGGGCACTTATTCTTTTTATTTGTTATTGTTCTCACACACAATGGTCAGCACCCCATGACTGTCTGCACAGGGGCCCACTACCTCTTCGGGCGGGGCGGGGAGGGAGGTATTACCCATCACTGACCCTGTGAGAGGCAAAACACGTCTTTTCCAGAGGTGGTCAGCCTTTGGGATGCCTCTTATGTATGAATGAGCAGTAACAAACTACAGTCTCTGCCCTCCACCTTAACAAACTGGATTGACTCTTCAGGTGCCAGGCCTATAGATTTGAAAATGCTTCTAGGAGTTTTATCTGTCCTATACCCTCACACTAACGTCATCAGCTTTTCTGGCTATCACTAGTCATGTCTTGGTATTCATGACCTAGTGCTTCCCATGCAGTTCTGACCAGGCTACAATCTCCATCCACACTGACTTTAGCAGCACATCTGCACCAGGAAACCAAAGAGGACTCAAATCGGAACACACCATTATCCCCCTTGTTTAAGTGCTGTCCTGTTCTTTGGAATGATTTTGCCAACTAGCAATACCCCAAACAGTTAATATAGTCTGAGATGTAACAGGGCTAGTCCCAATCATCAATTTGCTGAAGGAATGCCCAGATATTTTGGATGGAAAGTAGAGGAGCAGAGTACATGGTAAAGGGTTTAGTTGCATGGACAGGAGGTCAGTCAGCCACAGAGCCAGGCAGCAGGCTCTTTGTCACTGTGTTCTGTACAGAGTAGCTGATGTGTACATGGTAGATGAGCACAATCTTAATGCTCCCTTTATCAGGTAGTAGCTGCATTTTTTTTCCCCAGGAGAGGACAGTCTTCCCATGATACCCACTGAAAACAACATGCCATACTGTCTACAGGCAGCTGTGGGACCCTGCTCCAGCCCCTTCACCAGCCCCACTACCCATGGAGATGTAGCTTGAGCTATAAGAGCCTCTTCCATGTAGCTCTAGATACCCAGCCTCTTCTACATAGCTCCATCTGCCAGAGCAGGTCCGAACACTGCAGTCCCTACTTGTATTTTAACAGTGCCAAGTCCACCCTGCACTGTCTGGCTACATGTTCACTGGTAAATGAAAACTTACCCTGGCCCACTCCCTGGCCCTGAGGACAACTGTAGTGGAACAACTCACAACCATGCCATTAAACACTCTTACTGTCCAAAACAGAGTGGTGATACCCAGTCCATGTCCTATAACCAACCCCAAACCATCTTCTGGACTGCCTAGGAGAGTGTTAGCTGGGCCAAGGCAGTGAACCATGCCATGGCCCATACTTCATTCTAACAGTACAGACCTGTTTCCAGTATCTATGCCCAGGCCTGGCACTGCTAGTTCACCATCATACTTGTAGCCCTAGACAGCCAGCATCTTCAGGCACACACCAGGCCTCCATATTCACAAATATCAGTAGAGAAATCTTCAATTCTCCAATTGCTAGTCTGCTCCAGCTCAACCTGCCCTAGACAAAATGAGCAGAAAAGCAGAAGAGACTCTCTGCTTCAGATACAGATGGGGATGAAATCCCCTAGCCTAGAAAGTAAGGCACTGAGATTTTAAAAGCCTCTTTTATGTGGACTTTTTGCAAACCTTAATATTTCAAATATATTCAGGAAAAAAATCACCTGTTGGGACTGCGGCACATAAACCATACATTAACTTAGTTGGAAGCAATATCTGTAGCCTATCCAGTCCAACCTCCTGCTCAAAGCACAGCCAGCTTTGAAGTTACATCAGGTTTCTCAGGAATTTGCCCAGGCAAGTTTTGAAAATCTCTACAGATAAATATTCCCCGAACTCCTTGGGCACCTGTTCCAGGGCTAAACCACTCTCCAGGTGAAGAATTGTTTCCTTGTATCTAATCAGATTTCCATTGTTGCAACTTGTGCTCATTGCTTTTGGTGTTCACTTGGGTTTTTTCTGTGCATTTCCAAGTACAGTCTTTCGTAGAGGCACCCATTAGGTAGTAGAAAACACCAGTAAGATGCCACCCTGAGCTTTCTCGAGACAACAAACCCGGGTCCCTCAGCATTTCCCCAAATGCTGTGTGCTCCAGCCCCCTGACCAGCTTGGTGGCCCTTTACTGGACTTGCTCCAGTTTTTCTACATACCTCTTTATCTGGGGAGCCCCAAACCAGACACCCCAGTATACCAGTTGAGTACTGGAATGCCATAGAGTGACTAAACCCTCTCCTTGATGTGCTTACGATATTCTTACGAATAAAGTCCAGTATCCACCTTGCCACCACTGGCACAAGACCACACTGCTGACTGATGTTCAACCCCTGAGACCCATTGGTCCTTTATCGGCAGAGCTGCTTTCTACCCAGCTGGCCCTACCCTGTGCTGTTGCGGAGGGTTATTCAGGTGCAGAACTTTGCACTTGCCTTTGCTGAACTTCACAAGGTTTCATAAGGTTTCTCCACCTCACTGAGGTTTCTCGAGGTCCTTACCCCTTGCTTTAACAACTGTCCAGTTTGGTACCAACTGCAAACTCCATCCCATTATCCAGATCATTATGGAAGATGTTAAGCAATATTGATCTCTGACTGCTTTTAAGTGGCTGCCAGTTTGACTTGGACATAGCATTGTGTCCATTCCCTTGGCTCTTGCAGCAAACAGCCACAATTTAGGCAAGTCTTTACTGTTGCCAATGACCTCCAAACCCTAATGAGCACCAAAGTCTGGTGAATGCAGG